ATCCTTAAGACTAGATAAATGTGTAGATATGAAAACAACTAAGATAATCTTTACTTCATTTCGTAGAAAATGGATACGCGTTTGCATGTTCTTGATAAATTGCCTTTGTTTCCTCACAGCTTCTTTCTTCGCCAAATCGAGCTGTTCAAGTTTTGATCTGAAGTCCCGAAAAGCTTCGCGAGCCTGAAATGATATTAATCATTAATGGAGGCACGATTAAGATTAAAAAAAAAGAACATACAGTTGTGACCGATACACTCCCATCTTTTTCCGACAAAGCGCTTCGTAAGGCTGCTATCGATCTTTTCAAACCGGCACCGACTCTTTCCATGTTCTAAATACCGATGTGCATTCCCAGAGCTTTAGCATTCAGGGGTAAAAAGAACCACACACCTTATGCCCCCGACGAAATTCCATGTTAAGCTCCTCGTAGGGAACTTTAAAAGTAGCATACTCCAAAACAGCATTTCTATCTAGCTTGACCATAGTTATGCACAATAAATACAGTTTAAAAGAAAAATAATTGTTTAATATGATAGATCGCAGTAAAAAGTTATCCAAGAACCAGCTTGAACACGATTACGATGAGGTTGATGCCGATTAGTGGCACTGCAATGTTGTACATTCATGACATATCGATTACAGAAAATGCCAACCATCAAGCACTAAAAACTCACTACGCATAACCGTTTGAACGGCCAAAACAAGATTAATAAGTTGGTTTTTCACCGACCCTGAATCAGACTCGAACGAATTTGAGGGGACCCCAAAGCCGTACTAAAAAAAGGTTTGTTGTGTAGTAAACAGAAAGGAATTTAGTGTTTATCAATATACCTTCTTGAGGAAACGTTCTCGATGTAATATAGCGATACCGTTCAATATAAGCAACGCCGCTTCTAAAAGTCCGTAGAATGATAAGGCCATAAATTGGCAGCCGGGAACCCTAAACTAAATAAATTTATAGAATATATCATGAGACCAAAGAGGACACTAGCAATATGTAAAACAAAAATTGCGATGGAAAGTTCATGCGACGAACGACAACGACATCTTGATGGAATTGGACGACAGTCAGGAGGATTTGCGCAAATTCCGCTACTAGAGCGTGGAAGCTCACGCTATTGTCGCAAATTCGAATTTTCGTCCACTTTTCAGAAATCTTATTCACAGAATTTTTATAACGTAGTTTTTGTCACCAGGGAGTTAAATAAAATGCTCAATTAATTTTGTAACTTAAAGAAATCCAATTACAAGATGTGGAATTTCTGAATGTGCATCATATATTTCTCGACAAAATGTTAGTCTAAATCAAATTATTATCAGCTCAAATAATTTGATTTTCTTGCCTTTACTTTGCAGTTTGTCAGATTCACTCTATTTTCTTCAATTCTCCATCTATGTTTCGAATTGAACCATTTGTTCAGATTTCAAAATGACAACATCGATATTTTTCTATTTAATTAATAATATCTGTGTTTTCTGAAGTTTCTTGATTTAGTAACTCATTGTGATTATAACTTTCTTAGCATCCATCATTCCTGGGCAAAATCTATCTAATTATCCTTAAAAGGTTGGTACAGCACATGACATGCAAGCAGACAGCTCTATTTCTTTATTCAAGTTTTCTTGAAGTTTTAAAAAGTTTTAATTAGATTGTTAGAGTTGTTTTCTTTTTCTGGGTGAACTCGAATTGTGAGCCGTTCTGTTGTGATGTTGTTACTCCAAGTAAGCACCGTATTTCAGAGAATATAGAAAGTTGCTCTCAGGCGGAAAAGAACCATGGTCTGTGATGCTTGTAAGTTGAAATCGTTTATACCTATATAATTCATAGTGTCCGTATTTTCAAAACTTTATCTAGGCCAAAAAAAGCTCACAAAAATTGTTGGGATCGATCCATACCGTAACAAGGTCCATAACAAATTATCTGGAGTTCAGAAGAGGCCACCAGCAAATCAGAATAA